GCCCCACGACCGGACCCCCCCCCCAAAAAAAATAATTTAACATACCAAAAACAACATTCCATATCAATAAACATAGCTCTATTACAACATTTTAACTCCTTATATTATATATGGAAGTATAAACTTATTTACCCAACACTCTTATTAATGGGCACTCCATTAATTTTTCATTATTATTAAATCCCTTAATGAATATAATTTCATAACTGTTCATTTATGTCCAATTACTCCCTAAGGATGTAGCACAAATGGAACTGTCAGCTCAATGAACATACTGCCAAAGTACCATCCAGAAAGTTGGTAGCAATTTATTTTCCCACTAGGAGGATTATAATTAAAACTCTAAATCTGATCAAATAAAAAAATGTTTGGAGCCAGGTGCTGATGCCTGTAATCCTAGCTACTCAGGAGGCTAAGATATGAAGATCACGGTTCAAAGTCAGCCCGGGCAGGAAAGTCATGAAACTCTTATCTCCAAAAAACCACCAGAAAACTGAAAGTGGTGCTGTAGCTCAAGTGGTAGAGCACTAGCCTTGAGCTGAAGAGCTGAGGAACAGCGCTCAGGCCCAGACTTCAAGCCCCAAGACTGACAAAAAAAAAAAATTTTTTTTGGTCATTTGAGACACAAATGCTATTTAATGAAGTTATAGTTTTTCGCTAACTAGTAAAGCTGAACATTTTAAATATGGTAATTTGGTAAGTACACTCAATATTTGTGGGTGTTTTTGTTTCTTTTTGCAGTACTTGAGGCTTGGACTCAGGGCCTCTTACTTCCTACGGCAGTACTCTATCACTAGAGCCATGCCTCTAGCTCTTGTGTCTTTTGTTGTTGGTTATTTAGGAGATGGAATCTGGCAATCTTTTCTACCCAGGCTGGCCTGTTCACAATTCTCCAAATCTCAGCCTTCTGGGTAGCTAGGATTACATGTATGAGCCACTGGCAAATAGTTTATCTATGATTGATACCTATAAAAACAACTTTGGGCTAGAAGCTGGTGGCTTATGCCCATGATTCTTAGCGATTCACCAAGCTGGGATCTGAAGATTACAATTTGAAGCCAGTCCAGGTAGACACTTTCAAAGGACTCTCATCTCCAATAAACTAGCAAAAAGCCAGAACTGGAAGTGAAGTTCATATGGGAGAGCACCAACCTTCAGTGAAAGAGCCGAGCAAGTTTGTGAGAGCCTGATTTCAAGCCCCAGTATAGGCACACATATGTATATACATTTTGGGGACCAGCTAACCTGGAAGATCTTCATCTTTAAAATAAGTACTGCAATATAACAATAAGAGTTTTCTGGATGTGAACAGTTTGTTTCCCATAGTTTTTGTTAGAAACTTTTGAAAGACCCTTGCATATGATTAAAACAATTTAATATCCAAACATGATACCAGATACATACATACCATGCCACTTTCCCTTGAAGACTGTCCCAAATGATCCAGATCCAATTCTTTGTCCCACTGTAATCTGTCCATCAGGAATTTCCCAGTCATCACTTGAATCTCGTCTACCAAGTGTTTTCTTGATAAAACAAAATAAAAAAGGAAAACCTTATTTCACACTACATATATTAACGTATGCCTGACAGGAACGTAGGTAAGGAAGAAAATACAGACTCTTAAAAAAAAATACAACCCACAACGAAGGAACAATAGGTAAAAAGTATGACTCAAAATGTAATTTTTTTCCCCCTTCCTCACCCCCAGTTCTGGGATTTCTTAGACAAGTGCTCTACCACTTAAGCCACTTTCAGCTCTGGAAGTAATATTTTAAAAAATAGATACTGCTTGGTGCCAGGGGCTCACACCTGTAATCTTAACTACTCAGGGGGCTAATATTTAAAGATCATGGTTGGAAGCCAGTCCAAGTAGAGAAGTCTGTGAGACTCTTATCTTCAATTCACCAGCAAAAAGCCAGAAGTAGAAATGTGGCTCCAGTGGTAGAGCAGCAGCCTTAAGTAAAAAAGCCAAAGAGAATTCAAGTCCTCCCTGAAAAGTAACTAATTTTTTCAGCATATGCAAAAATGTGTATTGCTAACATCAATAAAACAATATAGCTTTCTATGATTTGGAAGACTATTAGGGGCAAGACAAGTATTACATATTTGTGATTCCCTTTAGCCAAATGCCTCAGAATTTAAGTTCAGAATTTTATTTTAAAGGAAAACATTATTACTTCTCTTCCAAAACCAACTTTTACAAAATTATGTTAAACATGTGAACAACAATCAGTGTAACGGAAAAGTGTTTCAAGCAAAAAACTATTAACTCTTAATTTGGTTATAGGAATTTTACATCATACACAAACATATCCAAAAGATATCAAATTTGTATATGAATTCTAGAAAGAAAAAACCATCACATATTCTTACCATTCGATTTCGGTCTTCTGAGGATGAAGATGACTTCCGCTCCCGCTGAGGTCCTGGAGATTTCTGTAAGGCTTTCACATTTGTCAGTGAGCCAGGTAATGAGGCAGGTGGGGTGGCAGACAAACCTGTGGTTGACCCTATTAGAGAAAGAGAAGCTGTATCCTTTAAGGAAAAACAAACATGCTCTCTTATCAGAAGACAGAGATTGGGGAGAAACCTAAACTTACTTTTAAAATATTGCACATGTTCAAACAATGACCTTACAGAAAGGATAGGCCCAAAAGCCTTATTTGTGATTCATAGTATAATTTTAGTTTTGTTAATGTCTTTAAGATAGCTAATGATATACTTTGCTTACTGGTTCAAGATTTACAAAAAACAATCTCTAAAATAAGATATAAATACTCAAACACTTCCAAAGTTCCTGTGTCTCTGATAAAAAAATTAAAAAACAAAACCAAAGTAAACACACACATACTAACAAACTGATTTTAAATGATCTCAACAGCTCATCAATATTTTAAAAAGTGGAAATATTTTCTAATAATAGCTTAAATGTTAAAAATATCTCTTTCATATTGGCCATTAAATTTAAATAGAATCCTGACTTATAAATGTGGGTCATGGGCTGGGAAGGTGGCTCAGTGGTAGAGCACTTGCCTTGCATGCTTGAGGCCCTGGGTTCGATTCCTCAGCACCACATAAGAAAAAAAAGCCGGAAGTGG